AGTTTGGTTGCCCGGCAGAGATTTCGAGCAAAGGCAGTGGCAGCTCACATGTTACATCTACGTCAGTCCTCAGAATACTGACGGAATATATCTATTCTTGACATTGCCATTTTGTAGATGTATTCGGACACCTTCTGGAACCTGAATCATCAAGCCTAACATCGGGCTGACAAATGTGTTTTTCTTCACATCTGCCACCAGTAACTTAAGCTACCCATAAACAATCTATATCTGCCCCAGCCTTTCAGGTCTTCACGCTGGTGGCGCTTAGTTATCTTCCCGGTGCAACACTACAGCTCCCATTACTCCAAAACATACGTCCCGATGTAAAAGTGTTTTCTATTAATATCATGGACTTATGTTATGGTCTTGCTCGTGTTACGAAAGTTGTCGGAATAACGTTATTTGAAGCCTGACTGTGCATACATTCGTCTTGCAGGTAAGTCGAATTAGGTTTATTTCTAGGACCTTTCCAAGCAACTGGCAAGCTATGAGTAAGGAAGTGCCATTCGTTGCCTCTTTACTACCCTTCCGCTGTTTTGCTAATCGCCATGCATATGTTACTTGTTTTATATAAGGTATAAAAACATGACCTCATTCTGGTTGAGGTATGTAAGCCTACACAAAATATTGATATCTACCATCGTTGTCAATCGTAGATTATTTTTAGTTTCTTTTTATAAACGGCTAACATTACGTACAATCCCTAGCAGCTGAAGGGATGGTATAAATCCAGCTAGGAAACCGTGCAGGAAGCAGAAGTATTGTAAGTCCCCACGGTCCTTAGTATGGTGGCCTATGTTTCGTTGCTAGCGATCTCTAGCCCACTGTATTGTTCTCTTTAATAATATTGTTTTATGATTACATGCTAGTTTTACCTTATCTGTGACACTCTAATAGTTTTACTGTCCATCGTCAACAAGTTTTTAATTTCTAATTTTAGTGATCTTTAGCATGATGAATGATTATTGTCGTCCCGATATGGCTGAAATATTGCTGATGTGACGATAAATATTAGCTCACTCACTCATTCATTCTGGTTAATCGCTTGTGGGATTAAAGCCCCAGAAATGTATCGGCGTGACGCATTTGAGTAAGTTCATTGTCATCGCAATAGGGTAGTTTCATCTGTAATGCTCTATTAGTTATTCACTGCATTATTTCTTGCTGGTTGTGTCGTATTTCATTATACAGTGAAACACGAGCAGTGTGGAATTTGTTATAATGATGGTACTTTACATATCAACATAGTTACACATGCCTACATGTTGCATGCCATAACAATATGTACTTGGTTAGATGTGCCTACGTGCTTCATCCTATGACAATATGTACTTGGTTAAATGTGCCTATAGGCTTCATCCTATGACAATATGTACTTGGTTAGATGTGCCTACGTGCTTCATCCTATGACAATATGTACTTGGTTAAATGTGTCTATAGGCTTCATCCTATGACAATATGTACTTGGTTAAATGTGCCTACAGGCTTCATCCTATGACAATATGTACATGGTTTAACATGCCCACACGCTGCATGCCATAACAATATGTACTTGGTTAGATGGTGCCTACGTGCTGCATGCCATAACAATATGTACTTGGTTAGATGTGCCTACGTGCTTCATCCTATGACAATATGTACTTGGTTAAATGTGCCTACACGCTTCATCGTATGACAATATGTACTTGGTTAAATGTGCCTACACGCTTCATGCTATGACAAAATGTACTTGGTTAAATGTGCCTACACGCTTCATGCTATGACAATATGTATCTGGTTAAATGTGCCTACACGCTTCATGATATGACAATGTGTACATGGTTAAACTTCCTTACTCTTCATGTCAAACCAATATGTACATGGTTTAACTTGCCTACACACTTCATGCCATACCAATATGTACTTGGTTAAACTTGCCTACACACTTCATGCTATGACAATATGTACATAGTTTAACTTGCCTACACACTTCATGCCATGACAATATGTACATGGTTTAACTTGCCTACACACTTCATGCCATGACAATATGTACATAGTTTAACTTGCCTACACACTTCATGCCATGACAATATGTACATGGTTTAACTTGCCTACACACTTCATGCCATGACAATATGTACACTGTTTAACTTCTCCTACCACCAACACAAACCAGATAAAAGAACAAACATCAGTGTAAGTCCCCTGCGACACTTGCCGAGGCGTTTAGTAAAACTGTACGCGGTACATCACATCACAGTGATGATTAACGCCTCACCGTCTTGTTCCACGCAAACATTCCTTCAAGCAGATTGACCTTCCTGCAAGGCAGTTTCTACGTTTGCACCCTAGAAGAAAAAAGTACGCATATTATCACTGTAGACATCAGATGCTACTGTAACATCTTCTCCACTTACAAGGTAGGTATGACAACACTGCAGCAGTGTTTCTCATTATCATCTCTTCTTGCAGCACCTTAAGTGTCACAAATCAATATGTTCAGTACTGGTGTCGCAGCCGAGAATGAACTTACCGCGCTATGACGTCACATTTATAGACATATCTGACAGCGCCCTCTAGACCATGCATTACCTCCCCTTTTATCTGGTTTGTCCCTAAAGAGAAATCAATTTCTATCTAATTCACCCAGCTCAAACGATAGAAATTTCATTTGCACTCTACACACTTCATGCCATGAAAATATGTACATGGTTTAACTTGCCTACTCTGCATGCCATACCAATAAGTACATTGTTTAACATGCCTACACACTTCATGCCATGACAATATGTACATGGTTTAACTCACTCACTCACTCTGCATGCCATACCAATATGTACATTGTTTAACTTGACTACACACTTCATGCCATGACAATATGTACATGTTTTAACTTGCCTACTCTGCATGCCATACCAATATGTACATTGTTTAACGTGCCTACACACTTCATGCCATGACAATATATACATGGTTTAACTTGCCAACTCTGCATAACATGACAATATTACATGGTTAAACTTGCCCACACGCTGCATGCCATGACAAGGTGTACATGATTAGACATGCCTACACGCTGCATCCCATGACAATGTGTACCTGGTGAAATTTGCCTGCCTGCACGCTTTATTCCATGACAATTTCTAAATGGTTAGCTTCCCTAATCGCTTCAGGCTATGACAATACCAACACAGATAAGGCTATAACTATACCTTTCTGGTCAACCTTTCATACATGCAGAATGCTACATGATGGTGCATACACGTAGTGTAACTCGCTATGACATTGCACGCTCTGACAATACCAAGAGTCCTGGTGTCATCACTCTGATTTTAGTGACCACGTCTGTATGCCATTGACATCCAATAGCACCTGTTTCGTTGGATAACTGCGACTGGTTGTAATTATTTTCTGGCACGGTCGTGCTATGTTTGCATGTAAAACAACATCGTTACTCCCACAGTGGTTACGTTAACATAGAAGTGTAAACACATGATATGATAAGAACATTTCTGGCACCGTCGTGCTTCATTTACATGTAAAACAACATCGTTACTCCCACAGTGTGTAGTGGTTATGTTCACATGCCTTTCAGTGCAATACAAAAGTACAAGGAAAAGGAAACTTGCGGAATGAGGCTAATTGACATTCCTACTATCGTTAACATTACCGATGCGATTCCTTCCCGATTCCTATTTTCTATAAGCAATACCCACACAATGTTGTTTCATATTTGTTCTTTGATTTTTCCAAGTGATTTATTTATCCTTTTATCTTTCTTGCCTCTCTTGCTAGGCGTTAAAATGAACATGATTATACTGTGGCATGCTGTACGTCATGAATATAAACACCGACTGCGAACAGCTCAACGTGAAAAACATAACTGTCAACAACATGCAACCAATTTGTCAATGTCACCTGTAAACAAAACGTACAAAAAAAAGCATATCAGTTACCAAGATCCTTGAAAATGTTTATTCTTGTGATGTGATAATATTTATTCAAACATTATGTTTAGAATCAATAATAAATGGAAAATATACGTGACGTATGTTGAATGTAAACTGCTGTCAGTAACGAGTGTGTAAGTGTGAGGGAGAGGTTAAGCACCTGCCGGTTCATGGAATGGTTTACTATCTGCTTCGCTTGAATGCTGATTAAACAGCGTTGAGCTTTGACTGAAGATGTGTTAAGGTCTCCCTCTCTGGTGGATGGAAGAGTGAGTGAGTGAGTTTATTTTTACGCCGCACTCACAATATTCCAGATGTATGGTGGCGGTCCTCTGGTGGATGGGGGCATCGTTCCGATCGTTATGGGTGAATTGGGACAAGAATAGAAATAGAACTCAGGGAAAAGCATAAAACTGACAATGGGCTCCCTTTCCAAGCAACTATTAAGAGTTTTCATTGAGTGACAATGGGCCACTGGGCATAATGAAAATTATTTGCGTGGTAGGCTGAAAAATCATTGATGACACCACTTGGTACCCATTCCGTGAAGGACCTGTGAAAATCCTGGTTAGAATTGGTCTTCACCAACCTATGCCTGTCGGTACCAGGTGGTCAGGCTTGCGTATCCCAATTGCATATATCGATGCTCATGATGTTGATCTCTTCATTGTCTGGTCTAGACTCAATATTTTTCAGACTACCTCCATAAAGATGGAATTTTGATAAATAATCATTCTACAAAGGGATTTAAAGAAACTTCTGCTAACATATGTCGTTTGTGCCAATAATACTATGTCATGAGGATCTGGGTATGAATCTCGTCCATGTTCGTTTAAAGGTGAGCTTGGAATGTGCCATCCTTCGCACCTGTCGCAAATAGTTGCAAAGGCTCGTGGACTGTTCATCTGAGAAGAACACATGAACACGTGGCATAAGTCAAATAATACTGGTGACATTTCCAAACAATATCTGTTTTCCCAGCAATAACTTATATTTAACCGCAATTCAAAACCCTGTCAGACTCACCCACTCTCCCAAAGTATTTACTTTGACAGCATCAACAACATGACAGTTGGACTTAAGCGGCAGCTCGGCGTCATCAGCGCCATTAGCTACGTCACCGGCGGCATCATAGGAGGCGGCATCTTCGTCAGCCCAAGTTCGGTGTTGGCTGGTGCTGGAGCATCTCTAGGGCTCTCCCTCTGTGTGTGGGTGTTTTGTGGCTTCATTAGCTACTGTGGAGCTTTGTCTTACGCCGAACTCGGTAGGTGGTACCCAAGTGCCAAATCAAGAAGGGAATAGTATGGTCTCGAAATTTTGTAGGTGGTAGATAAGTGCAGAAATACCAAATTTGCTAAGTGTTTGTCAGTAACAGTTCGGTGCCCAATTCGGTAAGAAATGAATTAGTGTTGAAATCTGTTTTTCAACTCTGTAGGGGGCAGTTTTTTGTTATGTGGTAAATTTGGGTCGATCCCTACAGGGAGAGAGTTGTTTGCCGAACTGTAAGTATTGTATTGTTGTCGAACTCGTTACCTGATAGGACGTTGTCAGACATGGTACGTCATAGCTTGTCACTGGAATTGGTGAGTTATAGTTTATGACATTTTAGAATCTTGCAAGAGATAATATGGACCGGGATAAAGAAACACTTCTTTCGCAAAAACATTTGTATCCATGTATGCTTACATCGTTAACGTTGTTCAGTGGCTGTGGTTTCAACAATTTGAACTGAAAGTGTAGCAATATATTTGAGTCTGGAAACATGACGAACAATAGTCTGTTAAGAACGATAACGTCATAACGTCACGATGCCTGAACTTTCCATCGGAAAAATATAATGACGTTGCAGTGGTGTTGTACTGTGAACAAAACATTAGAAAGATCACTTCGTTTTTTCATATGCTAGTTTGAATAATGCCAGCTAGACATATTCGCGTTTGATTTAATCGAGGTTCACTGAAGTTGTTCAAATGTTTGTGTGAAAACTACGATTTACGTGCACACAGGACACATATGTGCAGATTAGAAACGATCTTAACTGACATCTGAATTCGTCATTTCAATCTACTGATATAATTTGGACCACTCGATGACACAACACAAGTTCATTTTGTGTTTTGCAATGAACGGTTGAAGTGAAATAAATCTAATATTCAAGAAGAATGTTAGAGTGACATCCTTACTTAATGTATGGCCCATTGCAAAAGAATTTTCATTTCTCACAAGGCTCACTCAATAAAATGCCTTTTCATAATGCACGCTATTTTACCATCCGAAAACACAAGCGCGATATTCCCGTCATCATCGAAACACATTCTCGCGATGACCTGTGTTGGTCTGCTGTTTCAGGTACTCGTATTAAGAGATCTGGCGGAAGCTATACTTACGTCAGAGCAGCCTTTGGAGACATGGCCGGATTCACTGTGTTGTGGGCTCAGCTGTTTGTTGTGCGCCCTTTAGCGGCCGTATTGGGGAGTCTAGTCACTGCTGAATACATCATGCGGCCTTTCTATCTGGAGTGCCCAGATTTGGCGCCAAAGTCAGCCAAAGTTCTGCTTGCTACAGTTATCTTATGTAAGTGGTAGATAAAAAAAGACTTTCTTAATTTTGAATTTAAAAAGCGTCACCGATTTGTGGCATGACTTTCAAACAAAACGTTGTATTATTCCTGAAATGAAGACGAGGTTGCGGAAGTCCATTGAAATCCATTCTAATAGATGGTATCGTAAAAATGTATTATAGGAGAAACCAAGCAAATCTTGTCAACCTTGTAAAAGACCTCATATTACAGCAATCTATTATCCGTCATATTAATCTCAGCAATTATTGAAACCTGTAGGAAACTGAGTGAGTTGAGTTTTACCCAGCATTCAGTAATATTCCAGCTATATGGCGGGTAGGAAATTGAGGGTGAGCGGGTGATCAAGCGGTAATCCAAGAGAACTGTGTCCCTCACCAGAAACTGATAATCAAAGGTTCCAAGGGGTCGTGGCATCAGTCAGTATGTTCTTGTGATAGATGGCTGACGTGAGATATCGGGGAGACCTAGGTCTTTGGTATAGGTTGACAAGCATCATATCGGGGAGATGTATGTATAATGTTACATTATGGGTCAGGCCAATAACACCAAACTCTGTCAAAAAGCTCTTTCCATTTACTTCCACAGCTTTCATTGTGGCCTGTAACTGTTATAGCGTCCGCGTTGCTGCCGGAATACAGACAGTATCCACGGTCTGCAAGGTCAGCGCTCTTGTCGTCATTATAGTAGCTGGCCTCTATCACCTAACCCAAGGTAGGTCGATTGTGTGCAAGGTCAGCGCTCTTATCGTCATTATAGTAGCTGGCCTCTATCACCTTACCCAAGGTAGGTCGATTGTGTGCAAGGTCAGCGCTCTTATCGTCATTATAGTAGCTGGCCTCTATCACCTAACCCAAGGTAGGTCGATTGTGTGCAAGGTCAGCGCTCTTATCGTCATTATAGTAGCTGGCCTCTATCACCTTACCCAAGGTAGGTCGATTGTGTGCAAGGTCAGCGCTCTTGTCGTCATTATAGTAGCTAGCCTCTATCACCTTACCCAAGGTAGGTCGGTCGATTGTGCAAAGGTCAGCGCTCTTATCGTCATTATAGTAGCTAGCCTCTATCACCTTACCCAGGTAGGTCGATTGTCTGCAAGGTCAGCGCTCTTTGTCGTCATTATAGCAGCTGGCCTCTATCACCTACCCAAGGTAGGTCGATTGTGTGCAAGGTCAGCGCTCTTGTCGTCATTATAGTAGCTGGCCTCTATCACCTTACCCAAGGTAGGTCGATTATTGTGCAAGGTCAGCGCTCTTATCGTCATTATAGTAGCTAGCCTCTATCACCTTACCCAAGGTAGGTCGATTGTGTGCAAGGTCAGCGCTCTTGTCGTCATTATAGCAGCTGGCCTCTATCACCTTACTCAAGGTAGGTCGATTGTGTGCAAGGTCAGCGCTCTTGTCGTCATTATAGTAGCTGGCCTCTATCACCTTACTCAAGGTAGGTCGATTGTGTGCAAGGTCAGCGCTCTTATCGTCATTATAGTAGCTGGCCTCTATCACCTTACCCAAGGTAGGTCGATTGTGTGCAAGGTCAGCGCTCTTGTCGTCATTATAGCAGCTGGCCTCTATCACCTTACCCAAGGTAGGTCGATTGTGTGCAAGGTCAGCGCTCTTATCGTCATTATAGTAGCTGGCCTCTATCACCTTTCCCAAGGTAGGTCGATTGTGTGCAAGGTCAGCGCTCTTATCGTCATTATAGTAGCTGGCCTCTATCACCTTTCCCAAGGTAGGTCGATTGTGTGCAAGGTCAGCGATTTCAGTGATGCATTACCAGCTGGCTTGGCTTATACAAAGACGATCAGCTTTCTTCAACATGTGCGATCTTGTCGCCATTAGAGTCACAGTCCTCTATCTCTTTACTCAAGGGAGGTCCACAATCTGCAAGGTCAGCGTCCTTGACATTATAGCCACTGCCTCTATCACCTTACACAAGGGAGGTCCACGATCTGCGAGGTCAGCAATCTTGACATTAGAGCCACTGCCTCTATCGCGTTACATAAGGGAGGTCCACGATTTGCAAAGTCAGTGTCCTTGTTACTATAGCCGCTGCCTCTATCGTCTTATACAAGGTAGGTCCACTACCTGCAAGGTCAGCGTCCTTGTCATTATAGCCACTGTCCTCTATTGCCTTTAACAAGAGTTGAGTTGAGTTGGGCTCTACGGCACATCGGCATTAATCCAGCCATATACAATAACATTGCGAAAAATAGTTTATAATTTTAATTCTGCTGATAATAGGGAGATTACTCCATTACAATCTGTGTACTTCGGACTACTGTATAATTCGGACTTTTTAGTCGGTCCCAAGCTGGTCCGAAATAGACAGAGTGCACTGTAGTGACGAGATCAAGTTTCCATTCATTACTAAGTCCAAGGTCCAAAAGAGTTATATTTTAAAAAATATACATTCATTACATTTTTATTTAAAAACAGAAAGTCTTAGCACCAGATACAAAAGCAAGCAATTCGTTATTTTCTTTACAAAGATACAGTTCAACTTCCCTCAGGTAGTTTACAATCAGATGCCCGCTCACGCGGGAAAACAGATCTTTCAGATTTCTCGCATCATAATGTGAGTCCCTTGCAGTCGAAAAGTCCACACAGTCAAGCAGAATATGCTTGATGGTGAACACTTCATCGCAAGAGACACACATGGGGGGTCCATCTCCATCCGTTTTCAGCAGATAGTCATGAGTAAACCGACTGTGGCCAATACGACATCGTCATCACGTCTTGACTGAGAACCTAAGTAGGTATAACCAATTGTTGGCTTCAGTTCATGAAGTTTATTTCTTCCTACTTGGGTGTCCCAACTTTTAACTGCCAAACAGTATCCTTAAATCTGACAATATTTACTAGATTGTGCTCTTTATTAATTTGACGTGAGCATATGAATATGAGCACGATATCATTATGCATATTCTTTAAACATTTCCAGATTTGTTACATGTTCAATTTCTGCTATACTTCATTTGGGTTTGTCGTGTTTTAGAATAGCATGTTGCTTTTATAGGTCACAATGAAAACTTTAGAGACCCGTTCGTCATTAGCAATCTCAACCCAGGTGGCTTTACCTCGGCTTTGTATGCTGGGCTGTATGCATACGTGGGATGGTAAGTATGATCATGCTTTATATGTTGGGCTCTGTTTCAATCTTCTCGGATCATATTGTATGTCATTTTATGATTGTATTCTCTGAATTTCATCCCGCAAAGTTTATATTTCATCTTGTGATCCAAATGTGTGTCAACCTGCAAGGACCATATTGTACGTGCCAACTGTTTGTATTTCATCCTGCAAAGTTTACATTGTATGTTCCAAATGTGATCCAAAAGTGTGTCAACCTGCATAAACCATATTGCATGTGGCTTTATGGTTGTATTCTGTGTATTTCATCCCGCAAAGTTTATATTTTATGTTCTAAACATGTATGTGTCAACCTACATGGATCATATTGTATGTGCCAACTATCTGTATTTCATCCTCCAAAGTTCTCATGTGCTAAATGTGATCCAAATGTGAGTCAACCCTCAGGGACTGTATTCTGTGTGCTAACGCTGTATTTCATTTTGCAAAGTTCTCAATCTGTGGGCTCACTGTGTTTGTATTTTATGCTGCAGGGATCACATCAATAATGCAGTTGAGGAAATTGTTCAACCACAGAGGTGAGCAATGAATTTCAACTGGTGCTAAACTGTATCTGATGCCTATTCACTTCAATTGAACACACACCCATGAAGATCCGTTTAGAATTGATTTTAACCCATACTTGTAGTAAGAGGCGACAAACGAGATCGAGTGGTCAGGAGCGCTGGTTGGGTTAAGGCATGTCATCGGTTCCCAATTGCGCATATCGATGCTCATGCTGTTCATCACTGGATTGTCTGGTCCAGACTCGACTATTTACAGACTGACGCCATATAGATGGAATATTGCTGAGTGTGGTGTAAAACTAAACTCACTCACTCACCAGTTGAGCACACAATTGGCCCAGCGATCTGAAGCGCCTTGTGTCATGTCAGGATGCATTGGTTGTGGGTGTGAATCTCAGATTTCCCCTGATTAAGATCCATAATATGAAAACACCAATGTTGAATGGATTCCTATAATTGTGTTCATACGTTGTTTACAAACTCTTTGTATCTACACGAAGAAAGTCTCTAATAAGATGTTTAATCCAAGACAAGAATAAATTACTGCTGAGAACTGCTTGAACGAAACTGCTCCCTCCTCTGTATTTTGAAAGAGAATACAGGATAACAAATATGTTAAAATTAAGCCACGAAAAGATCGACTTTCTTTGTGTTTCAGGACAATGCCAATAGCTATTCTGGGAGGTCTTGCCATCCCCACCGTCTGCTACATCACGGCCAACATCGCCTACCACGCAGTCATGACTAATCAGGAAATACTCTCGGGACTTGCCGTGGCAGTGGTAAAACATCATTCTTCATTTCGTTTATAATGAAGATAGATAGACAGAACATAGAACATAGATATGACATGCCGATCCAATCACAAGAGATTACCTAAGAAGGTAAACATGGTGCCATCACTGTTTGATAGTTTTTTCATAAACACAAGAACACCATAAAGTTGGAACTGTACTGCTTGGTTTTGGCCGAGATATTTTATGAATATGGAAAAGGTTTGTTGCTTCTATTTATATGGCCAGTTCCGATTAATGTTGTAACAATTCAAAATGTTGTTGAGTATTCAGTGTGTTATTTGATAAGGGGTACATTATTCAAGGCCTTGGTAAAACTAAGTATATATGTGATCTTACATGCGTACATACAAAAATGTCAAACCCAGCTTGCGTAGATAGATAACATAACTGAGGTGAAATGAGAGGTTCTATTTCAGCATATGAACTTGGCAACTTGCAATCTTTCTTATGGTTTCTCATATTACAGATCACATATACTCAAGCCAATAATGGTTGTCACCCCCCAGCCTATTAATAAAATTGAAGGGGGTGACAACCATTATTGGCATGAGTATATAAATAACAAGCACTAACATTTAAACTTTATGATGGAAAATGGCAAAATACCCAATTGTGTTTGAGTGAGTTGGGTACAATTTATTTGGTTACTCAAAGGAACATTAGGACACCCATTTGAGATGAACACAAGCGAGTACATAACTCAATGACCCAAAAATTGTTTGTAGCTCTGTGATATGTGTCAGACATTTCGAAATTTAACTCGGTGATCAAAAATGTGTCTGTTCAGATCCTATATTTTGACTTAAACCATATTATGTTTCCGCGCTTGTTCAGGAGAATTGTGCATGTGTTTGTGACACAGTTCGTCCTCTTTGAACAGTACGGTACTGCTCTATCAGTAGAACTCTATCAAGTAAGTGGCACCAACAACATTATGTGACCTCTAGAACTGATATATTGGTGATCTATAGCCTGTGTTTATATTGTATTGTCTTCAATAGTTTTACATCTATGCCTGTGATATTCTAGTTGTTTTTACTGTACTGGTTTTTTATAATTCAACTTTATGTATTACGAATGTTTTAGTCACGATATGGCTGAAATACTGCCGATGTGACTCACTCACTCACTCTATAACGATAGCAATAGCATCGTTTTAGGCCTTTTCCCCAACGGAAACAACTTGATATATATTCATGCAACCAGGTGTTTGGTGAGCGTATGCTGGGCCCTGTCAAGTGGGCGATGGTGCCTTGTATTGCGATGTCTGCTGCCGGCATCACCAACGTCATCATTTTCACCTCCAGCAGGTGCGTGACAGTTGTCGACAATGGCTCTTTTGAAAACCTGTGCACATTTTCTCCCCAGTTACTTTGATATCTGGCAATTACATTCCATCGTTTCGCCTGAGTAAACACGTTTACTGAACCGACTGTTCTAATGGGTTTTTTCACATCAAATATACAGTTAACATAGTGGTAATAGTGTGTTTATATGTCTGCTTTGGAAAACTTTTTTGCATTTGATAAACTCCAACGATTTTTGTCTGAAAAGGTTAAACTTCGTTGGCGGCAGAGACAACGTCTTCCCTCGATTCCTTGGAATGGTGAATGCAGAAAGGAAGACGCCCATGCCGACAGTCCTACTCGTGGTAAAGATTTCGGGGCATTTAGTATTAGGTTTTCTCATCTCCATGGCCACACACCAACAATCCTGAATTTGTGTCATGTTAATGGTTCATTCCATGGTAATACCAAGTATTCTCGTACAATAAATGATTCATGATATATTGATCATGAGAAAGGACGTAATGTCACAGTCGATGCTACTGGTATGTCAGAGCTGGCTATTGGCGCTTGTGGTGCAGTTGATGTCGCAGGCCTTGATACCAAAGTGTTTTAGTGGCTGTTATGTATCACAGAGGGTGTTACAAACGATGGTGTCACATTTGTTGGTGATGGTGTCACAGTTGTAGTTACATCGGATGTTGTCAGTTGCTGTTACAGGTGATGGTGTCAAAGTTGCATTTACAGGCAATATTGTCACAGTTGGTGTTACAGGCGATCATGACACAGTCGCTGTTACAGGCGATGGTGTCAAAGTTGCTGTTACAGGCGATCATGACACAGTCGCTGTTACAGGCAATGGTGTCAAAGTTGCGGTTACAGGCGATGTTGTCACAGCTGTTGTTACAGGCGATGGTGTCAAAGTTACATAAACATCGGATGTTGTCAGTTGCTGTTACAGGCGATGATGTCAAAGTTGCGGTTACAGGCGATCATGTCACAGTCGCTGTCACAGGTGATGGTGTCACAGTCTGTTACAGGTGATGGTGTCACAGTTGTAGTTACATCGGATGTTGTCAGTTGCTGCTACAGACGATGTTGTCAAAGTTGCGGTTACATGCGATGTTGTCACAGTTGTTGTTACAGGTGATGGTGGCGCAGTTGCTGTTACACGCGATGGTGTCGCAGTCGCTGTTACGGGCGATGGTGTCACAGTCGCTGTTACAGGCGATTGTGTCACAGTTTCTGTTACAGGCGATGGTGTCACAGTTGTTGTTACAGGCGATGGTGTCACAGTCGCTGTTACGGGCGATGGTGTCACAGTTTCTGTTACAGGCGATGGTGTCACAGTCTCTGTTACAGGCGATGGTGTCACAGTCTCTGTTACAGGCGATGGTGTCACAGTCGCTGTTACGGGCGATGGTGTCACAGTTTCTGTTACGGGCGATGGTGTCACAGTCTCTGTTACAGGCGATGGTGTCACAGTCTCTGTTACAGGCGATGGTGTCACGTTGTCCTTACATTCTGTTTTTTTCAGTTCGCCTTTTCGCTGGTCATTGTATGTCTGGGCGATGTGAAGAGCATCATCGGGACCTACTCCTTTGTGAGGGCTCTACCTGAAGCTGTGGCCATAGTTGGCATACTGCGTCTGAGGAGAAAGTTTCCAGACTCCCATGACCTGTACAAGGTTTGAAATCTTTATTTATGCCACTTGAATAGTACTATTACTAAATAGTCGTGAACGTGTCAAGAATTTGTGAACGAAATGATTTAAAACGAGTAAATTTGTGGAGGGGTGATGGTTATACATGGCTATGCGTGTTTGGCAAGTGATAATTATGCGTTGTGAAAGGACTGGTGGCCGGCTATTTATGCGTTCTTATGAGTGTTGACGTGCGGCTTTAATTGGTGTTAGAGGAGTGTTTATTAAGTTCTAAAGGTATGTTGAACGTTAGCGGGATTAAATGGAGACAATCTGGATGCCGCACATTCACTGCTTACTCCTTTTTAACAACTAAAACAGAATCCGTTGCAACTACTCGTGGGGTGAAACGGTACGCTCTTACAACGGTTCGGTACGTATTGCGGTAGAAGGCCTTCGGTTCGGTCCGTTTCGGTCATGAGATATGACCATAATGCAGAAAAGAACAAAAATGCATAGATTTTGACAAAATGAATCGATTTCTTGACATTTCAGAAAAGGTTTGAAAAGGTTAATAAAATGGCGGTAAGAAAACCAAATACACCGCTTTTTTGACTGCATTACAGTATACCGAACCAAAGGCAAAGTACCGCGGTTCTGCTAATACCGAGGTATACCGTTTCACCCTAACTACTCGGCACAACATCAGCTGCATCCTCTGCAGAACAACTGGACTGTTTCAGGTACCCCTGGTGTTCCCCATCATCTTCGTCGTGTTCTTCTTCACACTGTCACTGACCGCCATTGCCTACCAACCGGTCAAGTTCCTTGTGCCACTGGCCATAGTGCTCCTGGCTGTCCCAGTCTATATCGTATCTGGCTCAGCCTGGTGGCAGAATGGTCCCTCCGTCTCATTCAACGGTAAACACATCATAATCACATAACCACAGCTGCAACAGCTACACAGCTTAGCTCAATACATATAGCTTCTGATACCGATGCCTCAAGGTAAAGTCTAAACATTGCCAATATATCAACAAATACGTTACTTTATTGTCGTATGATCTGCTAGATTTGATAGTAATCGCTAATATTTCCAACTGTAATGCCCGAGTACACAACATTCCTCTTCAGCAACCCATACTATACGTAAGAGGCGACTAATGGGACTGGGTGGTCAGGCTCGCTGATTTGGTTGACACATGTCATCGTATCCAAATTGCGTATATCGATGCTCATGTTGTTGATCACTGGATTGTTTAGCCCAGAATCGATTATTTATCGACCACTGCCAGTTTTCAGTTTATAAGTTCATTCTACAGGTAACGTAACTCTGCAAGAAAACATAATGGTAATCTCATTACAAACATACATATTACGTCAGTATTAAACATTAAAATGGGCCTTTGGTTGGTAAATCTTCTGACGGAACGAATACGTACATTTGTACATGCCAGGTTTCTTCTTCATGAAATGAATACAGGGACACTCCTACTGACACTCTGTCCCTTATTTGTTTCCATCAGTCTATATTACAGATTACATATTTAACGTTAATCAATAAATGAAAACATTTTGTATTTTTTATGTTTCATGTATTACAAAATTGTGCTTAACAGCGCACTCAGCGGTGCATATATCTTATCAAAATTGAACGCAATGGTCCGTTGGGCACTAATGGTAGAAAATGAATGTAGCGACATTTGATCGCATTTCTGGCTTGATTAATGTTCAGATAATCAGGACTTTATGTCCGTAGGTTGTTTGTAAAAACATGTTTGCTGCCCATAACTTTTTTTGGCTGAACATCAGTGTCATATGGACAAACTTATGATGGTGGCTGCTTCGTAAGGGAAATTCTCCACATGCATTCAAGTGTTTACGGGGGATTTTCTTTTTCAGCAACAATGGTTACCATCTGTCGCCGTCTACTTCTGTGTCAGTTAGCGGACGTCCAAAAAACCGTCACTTAGACACGTCTCCGGATCCATCCATGCGACCTGTGAAGATTCGGATTAGAATTGGTCTCCAGCAACCAATGCTTGTCGTAAGAGGCGACTAACGGGATCGGGTGGTGAGACTGGCAGACATGTACCCCAGTTGTGTAAGTCGACGATCACTGGATTGTCTAGTCCAGACGCCATTTATTACAGACCGCCGCCGGGTCAGCTGGAATATTGCTGATTACGGCGTTAAACATCGAACAAACTGTCCGTGCGATCTTAGGATGTACATATTGCCACATTGTCTCCACTCAACGGGTCGTAGGATGCATGCACTTATCACCACATGGGAGGTTCCACCCATCGACGTTTTTTATGTAAATTTATGTAAATACATCGGCCTCCCTCACCTGATAACAAGACTTGACTTTCTGTTCGCATGACCTGATATTATATTGTATTCTGTAACTGTCTGCCGGAATGAATGTCTTCCTGTTGAACTGACCTGACGTTGTAACTTCCAAGGCAAAATTTACGATGGTGGCTGCACTATGTCTGCATATCTGTTTCGATAATTGATTGGGGGACATCGTGGAATGGTGTATACCGTAACTGCCTTCAATTGAGATCTGATATATGCTGCTTGAAGCTATAACTGTTATCCAGTGTTATTTGAGATTATGGACCAGCTATATTGCACGCTGTAGTGATAATATCTCGTGTTATATTACATGCTCTGTCATCGTATCTCATGGTAAAGTTCACTGGATTGTCTGGTCAGAATACATAAATTTGGAGCATTTTTTTAAGTCACATTTTAAATGTATATCTGTAGTTATGTTACTATATGAATAAAGTATTATTGTTGTTGAAATAATCTTGTATGTTTTTTCACGAAGTCTCATGTTTATGTATGAAAAGTTTTTGAGATATAGAAAGTGAAAGTTTCTCAGGTTCAGAAACCAATGCCAAGTCTAACCATTAGTGAACGTCAGCTAGCTAATTATATATGCAAAGAAGCCCGGGTCAGCGAGGTTAAAGGGCGGTTTCCCCAGGAACTGACCAATCTGGAGCGAGTAAATTGCAAAGTGAGTGAGTGAGTGAGTTAAGATTTAAAGTCACATCGGCAATATTTCAGCCATATCGTGACTAAAACTAGTTCTAAATTTGTAATACAGACATATAATATATAAAACCCTGTCAACGAAGGACATTAAAAATACTAGATAATCACAGCTATCAATATAAAACTAGCGAACAAAGCTAAAACATTCCAATTAAAGAAGACAATACAATCTAAAAATGGGCTATAGATCGCCAACAACTGAAGGTAGATCACCATACTAGTGACCATGGGGACTTACAGTGCCTTTGCTACCTGCATGGACCCTAGATGGATTTACACCATCCCTTCAGCCATTGGCGACAGAAGACAAATCTAGCCATAAATTAAAAACACACTTATTCTACGATTAAAAAGCAGGTACACTTAGATTGACTAAATGTTTTGGGACTTACGTACCCTCTCAGGAGGACAATAATTTTACAATACTTCAACCCCCTTTGAGGATACAGCCACTAACAATCTCAGTTGCTAATCTAAACTACCAATAATAAAATATATATCTATTTACAAATCACTCAACAAATCTAATTTTTTTTAAAATGCAATAATTAAATGAGAACTGACATTATTAAAAAGATCCTTCAGAGTTTTGGATTTGAAATAGATATCCCTTGTGATGGAATATTCAATGCAGTCAAGCAAGACATGCTTGACTGTGATTCTTTCATCACAAAGGGATGCAAAACGGAGGATCTTCGCCTTTAAGCAAATATTCATGGGTATATCTAGTATATGGCCAATGCGACATCGCCGCATAATGACCTCTTCAAATCTGGACTGACAACCCAAGTAGGTGTAACCAATGTAGGGTTTTATTGCATGTAATTTATTAATACCTACTTGGGTGTCCCACTTCTTCTGCATTAGATCGCGTATGTATGCTCTAATGCTGGCTTTGTAATCAGAGTAAGGAATAAGAAGTGGTGTCACAGATTTGTTGAGTGCTGCCTTAGCAGCAAGATCGGCCATTGTATTCCCAGAAATGCCAACGTGGCTGGGTAACCAACAAAAGACGATGTCGCATTGGCCAGTTGCAAGCTCATTATACAATTCAATAATTTCTAATAAAAGTGGATGTTTACAATAAATATTTTTAATAGCCTGAAGGCAAGAAAGAGAGTCAGAAAAGATGATATATTGTTGATATTTAGGGTGGGTTTTAAAGACTCTCAACAGGAGAGGTTCTAAAAGACCCAAGACAAAGTCTTAGGCCTTGGTGATGGACAGAATCCAGTAGTTTTAGGTTGCTTTTGCAGGCTCCACCATATACGATGGAGCCATAATCAAGTTTCGAGCGGACCAATGAGCGATATAGGTGGAGGAGGGTAGCTTGATCTCCTCCCCACTTTGAGTTGGAAACAACTTTCAACAAATCAAGGGCCTTCAGGCATTTAGCTTTAAGGGATTTAATATGCGGCAAAAAGGTTAAATGGGAGTCAAAGATTAGACCCAAGAACTTGGCCTCCTTCACAACTTTGATGGGAGTGCCATTTAAAGATAGGTCTGGGTCTTTATGCGGCTTATATTTTCTACAAAAGTGTAGACAATTAGTTTTGGACTTGGAAAATTTAAAGCCGTTTTCAAGACACCATTTATTTATTTTATTTAAACACAACTGCAATTGCCGTTCAATAGTATGCATATTTTATACCACGACAAGAAATATTAAAATCATCCACAAAAAGCGATCCATCGATTGAATCGTTTAAAACCTTGGATAAACTGTTGATCTTGATACTAAATAAAGTGACAGACAAAATACTGCCTTGTGGGACACCCTGATCCTGATTATAATGATCAGACAGGGTTGAACCCACTCGGACTTGAAATAGTCTGTCTTTTAAAAACCGTGATATAAAAAGAGGCAAACGGCCTCTTAAACCAAAGTCATGTAAATCCTTCAAAATGCCATGCTTCCAGGTCGTATCATAAGCTTTCTCAAGATCAAAGAAAATTGATACAGCATGTTGTTTATTTACTATAGCATTTTTAACAAAGGAGTCTAAACGTACCAAATGATCAATGGTGCTACGATTTTTCCTGAAACCACATTGAATATTGGTTATAAGGTTATTGGTTTCAAGATACCAAGTAAATCTATTATTCACCATACGTTCCATGGTTTTACAAACACAGCTAGTTAGAGAGATCGGTCTGTAATTAGACGGATCGGTATGATCCTTGCCAGGCTTTGGTATTGGGACTACAATGGCATTACGCCATGAAGGAGGAAATTCTCCAGACGTCCATATTTTGTCAAAGATATCTAAAAGTGTCATCAGACACGGTTCCGGTAAGTGTTTCAGTAGCTGGTAATGTATATTGTCATCACCCGCTGCAGTGTCATGAGCTTGCTCAAGAGCAGTATGTAGCTCATGTAATGAAAACACTTCATTATAATCTTCACCGTTATGCGAGTCAAAATTAAGTTTCGTCTTTTCCTGTTGTTTCTGATATCTCTGAAACTCAGGGACATAATTGCCGATGATGAATTTTTGGCAAGAGTTTCGCCAATTTTATTTGCAATGTTGCATTTGTCAGTTATTAAATTGTCACCATCTTTAAGATGATGAACAGCAGATTTGGAACCTTTGCCTTTTATTCTCTGAACCATGTTCCACACCTTAGACATTGGCGTGCGTGAATTAATATTGGAGACATATTTCCTCCAAGATTGTCGTTTGTTTTGTTTGAAGGTACGACGTGCCTTTGCATTGAGTATTTTGAATTTATTTAAATTATGGACCGGTGGATGGTGGCGGAAATAATGTTCTGCCTTCTTTCTCTCTTTTCTGGCTTGTCTCCAGTCTGTATTAAACCATGGTTTCCGTACATGTGGAGTTGTAGAGGAT